CCTACCCCAATTCAAAAGAAAATTACCAGTATGGATTCATGTATTCTTTTTTAACTCAATGTATTATAATCCATTCTTGTCATTATTCATTTTGATGCTCAAATTTTCCCAAATTTAGCCAGGGGGGAATCCCTTCAAGCAGACTCCTTGTCCTTTTAACCGGCACCCACTGGCACCCGTCAGGTTTTGAGTACTTCCGTATTTTGTAATACAAGAGATTCCAAGCTCACTCTAGTTTCCCTGCCCCAGTGCTGGAAGCAGCCATTTCTCCAGGGAGCTTTAGTGGAGAATAGTATTTACAAACCAAGAACTGAATGTGATTGTGCTACTTATTATTCGGGTGTCATTTGTTTCTGGGCTTTTTCATTGGCAGAGTTAGGAAAGGTTCTTTTTTAAAAATCATCAGTTTATACCAACACTCCCAATTCCAGTTCCACAACAGAGTTCTTCCTTTCCTTCCCCATTATATACTGTATCTCCCTTAACCATACCATGGACCCAACAATATCAACATATTACTCATTTGCTCAATCCTAAAATATACACAGATTTTTTCCCAAACTGCTACTACACCAATACCACTGCCAATAAAAATTAAATTCAAGATTTCTTTATAGTTCTTTTAATCCTCACAGTATAGCCCTCTGAGGGTCTACAGTCAGAGTTCTGTGTTCAAGTTGCATGGATTAATGTTTTTCATCTATGTGGTATGTTAGCAATATAATGTATAGTTGTTTATTTCCGTATTTAACTTTAGTTTTTTTCCCACCAATCTTCATTAATTTTAGCCAAATCAGATATGAGTGTCACAAATCCTGTTGTTTATTCTACATTATTATTAGAGCTTCTTTATTTGTATGCAGTCAACCTTTCTATTGGTTTGGCCAAAAAGTTCATTCGGGTTTTAACATCTTACAGAAAAACCTGAACGAACTTTTTGGCCAACCCAATAAATGAAATCCCACTGTCTACTTATTTTTCCCCTCACTGTCCTCAGGGGACTCAAAATGAGCCCAAATGTCACTATAACCTTGAGTAAGACAATTAACTTCTCTAGGCTCAATCTTTTTCCTCAGTAATAATGACCCATGATTAGGACAGAAGTAATCACCTTCCATAATACTTATAAAACATCATTAACTTCCTCATCTGATTTCCACTGCCATTAAAAACTAGTATTTATTATAGGCACATGCTTCTCATTCATCTTCACTCCCCTTATTATTCCTATTGTTCCCTTATTTCATTCTCCTGGTATCTTTTCTTCAAATTCATTATCTGTATACATTTTTCTTCCGAAAAGACTATTTCCAAGTCTTATAAGTCCAATATCAGATCTGCCATATTAATCACTTTCCTTTTCTTTAATATTCCATCCATATATGGATTTACCAAACAGTAGGACCTGTCCAAATGTACACTGTTTTATATATTTACACCATAAAAAATCTTAAATTATCAAAAACATAAAAGTAAAATATCTAATAAATTAAGAAGCTGTGGGCAGAGTTCCTAACAGTACAACAAATAATATTTACCCTTATTATAATTAAAAAATTTAAGATAAAAGCCATACACACACACACACACACACACACATTTTTTTTTTTTTCCCATACCTGTAATCATAAGATCAAATGCTTCTTGGGTGACGCCTCCAAGATTTTTATTTTCACTGTGTTCTGGGTCAGTAACAACTCCAGAGCTGGAAGTCTTAGATATTAACTGGTCGTTCCAATGTTTCCGTTTGGACAAGCTTTTAACCAACTATAATGAAAATATATACATCAGTCGTTTTGTTTAATGAACAAGAAAGCTAAGCGGTTTAGTCTCTTATGAATTAAAACTAAAGCACTCAGATATGGGGATATATGTATAGCTGATTCACTTTGTTATAAAGCAGAAACTAACACACCATTGTAAAGCAATTATACTCCAATAAAGATTTTTTAAAAACTGAAAGCATTTGTATCTCTATCTTTCTGATATCTTTGGCCCTTTTAAGAAATTACACAATTCAAAACTCTACCAAAATGTATAGTTATATTTTAGGAATTTTATTTACATCAACTATTTTGAATTAGACTTGAGTCTAAGGCTTAGCTGAATTTATTTTTATTATTTAAATGATTCAGTACCAATGGAGAGGCACTATTTTCAACCTGCAAAAGTCTAGTAACCCTCATCCATGATTTTATCATTTACATACAGGGGTAAATGATTGAATCTAACATTTTATTCTTAAAAAAAAAAATCAAACATTATGCCTATGGGTTAACTCATAACTTATTACATTATCCCAGTTCTACTACAGGTATTCATACCCCTTTTGAACTTCCTAAATTGAAAAATTAAAACAAAAACCACTTTTGTGGGGAATATACAATTGTTATCCTTAAATTATTTCCAAATTTCAATGATTTAGGTATTTCTGACCAAGGAAATCTTTGAAATGTTGTTAATGTAAAGGTAGCTCCATCTGTACCCCATTCTAGCTCAATAATACACACCTCATTTTCTCTTCCGACTAGAGATCCAGCCGTAGAAGGCTGAATCATCTTCAGAGTTCTTCTTGGAACAGGACTACTCTGAAAGTCAAGATAATGAATTATCTGGTTACTAAGTTCCTATATGGATTGTTAACATCTCAATCCTACCATAATTTACAAAAGAAAAAAAAATGCTAAGGACACTAATGTTTGATCTGCTCTATAATTTTATAATGCTACATACGATTTGATCAACTAGCAAGCTTATTATTTCCCTAAAATTATAATAAAGTTTGAAGAAATTCTAAGAATAAATCACATTACCCAAACTTGACCCAAACAAGTAGCTCTTCTTCCATTTCAGTATACGTTCTTGCTATAGTCATGTAGTCATTTGTTTAGTTAAAACAAAAATATAACATTAAGTTCTAGTACTCCAAACCATATATGATGAAATTCCAGTAAAACAGGAATATTTGTATATTCCCTCTTAAAAAGATCTTCTACACAGAAGCTAGAAATTTACCAAACATCATAACATTTAATGCTACCCACAAAAGAGGTAAATTGGAGGAAAAGGTTAATTATTTACACTGCAAAATACTTTCCCCTAATCAAAAGGATTCATCTCAGGCTTCCTTTAAATTGCGAATAGTCCCTAACACATTTATATGAATCCACCAAAAGAATATCACTTTAAAGAACATTACACATGTAAGACCCGCTTCCCCCCTTCAACCTTTACCTGACTGTAGAAACAGTTTTGCTTCAAGCCCATTCATTAGCAGAGAAAATGTCAGTGCTTGAGGCATACAAACACTCTAAAATGCACAAGCTATTGTTTTCGAAAAAAAAAAAAGTTTCCTTGTAATATGTAAATACCTTCCTGTATATTTCCTGATCTAAAAGGTCTCTCTATTTTTGCAAAAAATCATTAGTTATACTGCCACCACGGGATAGCAAACAATGGTGAATGCTCAAACAAGGTCAGCAAGAACATGACACCAAAGCAGCGTGAGAAAGTAACTGATTCCACACTGTACCTCACAGGACTAGAGTTCACCTTTCCCACGGTAAAGTTTCTACTGCTGATTATTATCTCACTATTTAACTGAAGAACAAATGCTGGCTACTGTGAGAACAAATATTACACCAACATTTCAGATATAATTTAGATTATAGATTAGTCAACATTGTCCAGACAAATAGAAGAAAATACAACTTTGGAACCTTAATAATAAGAGGTTAATTTATTTAAATGCTTGCTACTCATAAAGGCCAAAGAAGCCAGCTAAATGACCACTTCCAAGATTTAACTTTCACAACTGTAAGCTTTATAGCATCCAGCCATCCAAATGTAATATTGCTATTATCATTTTATTCATATAGATCATGCATTAGAATAATCTCTTTACAGCCAGAAAGGTTCTTATATATTGAGTCGTAATCTTTTTAGAAAACAATTTGAGATTCTATGAACCCCCTCAAAAAAAAAAAAAAAAGCATACTCACACAGAATTTTGTGTATAATTGGCAAGGAA